ATTGTGTTGGATAATTAAAGCCTTGATTATCATTCATTCAGGAATGTGCTGCCACTTGAGAACAGCTGTAGATGGAGCAATCCTTTTTTTTGTCACAACACTTATGCAAAATAAATGGGAAGAATTATTTAAGCTCATCCTGAACCATTACCATTACCATAGAAAAGGTCACAAAACTGATACTAAGCATTGGAATTTTTTTTCCACATGACACCCAAATCATTGTGTGAAGAAAGGGCTCTTCGCCCAAATTGCAGATGGATTTTAAAGTGTCAAGTGGTCTCTTCAGCTGAATGAATAACTTGGAAACCCACATGACCATTAAAAGAGGTCAGCAGAAAGTTTCCCGTCACCATAATGTGACTAAATACACAAATAAAAAGTGATTTTTTTGCTGTGTCAGCTGCAACATGCAAAGCTGCAAGAATCACCCCCTCCCGCTTAAACAAAGCAAAGACATGACCAAACATGACACTTTGGGGCACATTCAGTTCCCTTTTGCTCAGATTCCTCTTTTATCAAGTTCCATGCTGCAGTTACGCAAGGGGAAGAGATTTATAGTTGTACATTTGACAGACCCCCAGCCCCTATACTGAAAATGCAGGCCCCCATACTATGGTAAGTATGATTAGATGTAAAAAAAATCCTTCAAAATGAGCTAAAACGCATGCCGCTCTGACAGTCATGTTCTGCGATTATCAATCTTGCTGCAAAATTTAGCTCCAGCCTAGAGCTCTAATCAAACCCATCTGAACCTGCTAATTAAGGTCTTGCTTAAAAATGACAGGCACTTTTGTAAGAGGAGAGCTGAAATTCAATTCTAATAGGTTGAGCACACTGTGAACTCTGTTGACAGTTTAACAAATGCATCAGAAACCACTAACACTTGTGTGTGTGTGTGTGTGTGTGTGTGTGTGTGTGTGTGTGTGTGTGTGTGTGTGTGTGTGTGTGTGTGTGTGTTTATATAAATATTTAGAAAATAGTCCTATGGATGTAGCAACTAGCGTTGCTAGGCTGTATTAAAGGAATAGCTATCCCAATAATTAAAATTAATTAACCATTTACTCACTCTTAAGTTTAATTTTAAACAGTAGCTAATAGCTATGCTTCCATCCACCTAGTTTTTATGCACATTTTGGATATGCGCATAAAAAAGTTGATGGAAACGTCAAGATGCACATAAATTAAAAAAATATCCATAAAAACATATGAGCATAACTGAGTAGGATAACCTTTTAATTTGATAAGAAAAAATGTGCATAAACTACTATGGAAACTTTTTTACCAAACAAATTTCAGTATGCGCATAAAAAGGTCACGTGATTTTGTTATTAGAGATCATGTGATATTAAAAATGTGTGTGAATGGCTAAACCAGCTTCTGAGCACACTGTAAAACATCTGAAATGTTGTTTTGGTCATTCTAAAACGCCTTAACCATTTCAGTATTAGTGTCATTTTATTATTAGTTACCTTTAGAATTGTCAAGAGTGTCAGTACTCCACATCTGACGCCTTTGAATGCCACCACATATTTATTGCGTGTCAGCATACTGCCTTCAGAGGCACAAGCATAGACTGTAAAAGATATGGACGTAGTATCTGTGAAGTCACCCATAGGTTTCCAAAGAACACAAAAGAAGCTGCAAGTTGGCGTGGCCAACCGTCGCCAGTTTGTAGGCGCTACATCGCACCAACCGGGGGATACCAAACAAGGGCAAAGAGGCGGAGTGTGAGCGAAGCTACAGACGCCTGCTAGCATTTTGCTTAGATGGGCTTTTCTTTGGGAGAAACACTTAATACTTCATTACCTGTGACTCTTTTGTGTTCTGACCACATGCTTGGTTGTACACTATATCAATAAAGTGTTTAGACTTTAAAAAACACTGTTGTAATAGATTGAGCCACTAAACATTGTTGTTATGATGCTTTTCTAGAGGAGGAAAATGCTAATTACTTCCAAACACTTTAAATATAGTCTGTGTTAGTAAATGCAAGGCTATTTATGAAACCCAGGCATAACACTGTATGACAACGCTTCAGATGAATGTTCTAGAGCTTACAGCTAATAAATCTACCAGATTCTGGAGTGCAATCAAGTTGTAAAAAATATATATATAAATGATAAATGATCTTAAATAAAAGAAATACATTTATAGAGATGGTATAAGTATATAGTTTCACTCACCTGAAAAATGGAGGTAACTTGAATGGTTAAGTGCACAATTAAGTGCACACAGCATGCCATTTTATCTGATAAGTGTAAGAAATAATTCCAAAACGCAACTGACTGTGTAAAGCCACATAAAACAAAACAAAAAAACATGTATATGCTGAGTTCAGCGACTAATCAGCCGGAATCAGCTGAGATGACGTGACAGCGACCAGCGAGACCTAGCTGTCTCTCAATTAGCCACGCCCTTAATTATGCAGACTTAACAGAACTTAATATAAACAAAATGAATGAGTTTTAAAAAAAATTCACCCCCTCACGGTTGTCATGAAGGGTAATATTATTATTTAAACCAAAAATAATCTTTGTACCAGGCTGTTTACACCTTTTTTTCTGCTGTAAAGTCAGCTATTTTAACAGTGGGGTCAATAGAAATTTGCTCTATTATGGAGCCAGGACTAGAGAAATTTCGATGAATTGCAGTTTACTTCCGTATTTGAGCGGTAGGTTGCCGCTTGGGTGCAAGTTATTTATTAAATAAAGAAAAGATTCACACAGCTTCTCCTACCACAGCAAATTCGATTTTTACTTTTGATATTTGGCGCCAGTCAATCAGGAAGTGATTATTTAGTTCTCTTTGACCACTTGGAAGAAAGCGCTGCTTTATTAGCACATCTTTTATTGGATATTCCAGTTGTGCGCATAAATTTAATTTGCATCTTTGGATGGAAACATAGCTATTGACATTCATAATAGGGAAAAATACAATGGAAGTCAATAGCTATCAATTCTAACATTTAATATATCTTATGTGTTTGAAAGATCAAAGTAACTCATACAGCTTTAGAATAAGTTGAGGATGAGTAAATTATGATTATTTGGTAAACTATCTCTAATTTAGAAGCCTTTTCTATGCTTTAACACTAACATTTGTGCATGTATTCCTTAGCCAACAAGAGTTTGCAAGCTGCTGCCAGTTTTGAACCTTATCTCTCTTGGTCTTGAAGTAAAAAGCCTGAAACCTGAGCATTCAATCATGTGCAAATTCCTGCTTAGCATGTGCCATGTTCATGCAGGTCAAGCTAAACAACTGAGGTACTGTACAGCCATGGTCGGGAACAAGCATTAAAGATAAATGCTTTGATGAACAGTAAGTTCAGATGATGAATCAAAGCTTTCCTCACCATTTTCCATCGTTAAGTTGCCACTGTAATAAATAATTAGCATGTAGAAAGTTTTGCTAAGTATAAAAGCATCTTTAATTCGTTGTTCCTCATAAAAAATATGTTTGTTCTTGTTAGACTATAAACTTTGTCACACACATGGGGACTGTATCTGTAGCCTACTTAGGAATACATTCCTGAAACAATTGTAAAATGCCCACAAATTAGCAAGAACAAATGCTGAAGTTTGATACTGTTGCCTTGATCTTATACTTCTACATTTTATTTACAATTTTAGTGGTGCAGATAATAACTTTGGGGAAGATTTTTAATGTTTTTTATTTCTGTGATGCCGGCACTGATTATGAAATTTCAAAGAGAGACATTTGCAAAAAATTGTTCAGCACAACTATGATGAATATGCCAAAGATTATTCATGACTGCCACATTACACGGACAAAATTTTAAACAATTACAAAACAAAGTCGTAAATCACAAAATCACCAAGGCCTAGAAGAAAGTGATATACTGTTGTTATATCATGTATTTTTGGTAAGATGGAATAATAACAAACACATTGTATTTTACACCTGGTCACTTCTTGATTTTTTTTCTGTGATCGGATAGGTATCTGATCAACATCAATATGGCAGGTGTAAATGTCATTCGAGAAGGATATACATCTGATCACTTCAGAAGGTGGTTTCCAGGTGAAACTGGACAGGCCTAGATGCATCTGGTTGCTGAAACCATGTTTATAAATTTTACTTCTCCAAAATAAAAAAACATTAAAGCAAGAGTGCACGTGTTGTGGTCAGATACACAAGCACAAATGCATAAGCATTTGCCTGTGAAATGATTGAATTCAATTGTTAAATTAACATCAGATTGCAGAATTAACACATAGCACACACCTGAGACTATTTATAATAATAATAGAACAATTGTTTTGTTTTTGTTTTGTTATATATCACAAATGAAACCCTTTACTGTTCGAATGACGTCTTGCATGTATCTGTATGGCACAAACAGATGTTTCACTTAGTCTATAATAAAAGTAATCATGGAGCCCACCTTGTGCACTTCTAATGGTGTTTTATAACCTAAAATTATTTGAATGCCAAACAAGATATATAGCTTACGTTTCTGTGAAGAATCATTCATTCATTTTATTTTCGGCTTAGTCCTTTTATTAATCTGTAAATAATAATTTAATAAAATGTAGTGTATCTGATGCTTTAGATAACGTAACCTAAATAAATTTGCATCTAAAGTGGGATTCGAAGATCAGAATCAAATCTGTTTAGTGGAGACACATTTATGTGGTCAAATGAGATGGGGAAAAACATGAAGTGACCAGGTGCCAATAGGCCCATAGACAAAAAAGTAAAAACACAAATAATTACATCAAATTCGTAATATTTAAGGTCCCATTAGCATAATTAATGCAAAAATTTTTTAAGCAAAACATCTTTTATTGTCACTAGTGTAGAGATGTATAAAGCACTGCTCATTATGCTGGATTCACACCAAATGTAGAATAATTATTCGTGTTGAGTATGTTACATACAATGTCAATGCAAATGCGTAAATAGAGGCGATTTACCGTCATGTAATGTTGATTTACCTAAATGTCTACTGTATGATTGAGAAGTTGACTGTGTACCTGACAGTGGCTCTCTGGGTTTGACCTCGGGCACCTCCTCCACCGGCTCTTCCTCTGGTCCCTGCGATGAGTGATCCTGTAGGGACTCCCTCTTCATCTTGCCCTTGCCCACCATCTTCAAGAAGGATAGACGACGACTAGTGGAGTCAGCATCAGTTTCTGAACAAAGTTCACCATTGGTCAAACTCTCTTTACGATCTTTACACCTTCCGGCCATTCTGTAGGAAGAAGAAAGAATATGAGGTCAATCATCATTTACATTTAGATTTAACAGTTGCTGTTGTTTGCAAGACTTTGCATTGAGTTTTGCAATACAGTTTTGTGTATTTCTTTGGAATTGTCTCTTGTACTTGATAATTATTGGGTCAGCACTAAAAAAAGTACATAGCAGATAGCACAAAAACATAAGACTTTTTGATAGCTAATAGACACAAAACTTAAGGCTTTGAAGCTAGAGTGTCTACAGAATATCTGGTGAAAGTAAATTAAATAAATGTATAAATTTCAATTATTTACAAATGTGTTTTACTCCAATTTGTCTTTACTGGAACAGTTAAAGAATAAATAAGAACTGGGAAACACATCATACATTTTTTGCAGTAGTATGTATACGTATCTAGCGATATTTTCACAAGCGTTGGTACCTGAAGCCTTTTTTTCTATTCATTGTTCTCAAATAGATTAGAAATAAAGGATTTAACGATATATAAGCCATGAACTAAACCAAAGTGCTATGAGGTATATCACAACAAGGATGAAAATTGGAAAAAAATACAAATGTAGTTACTTTAACATTAACTATTTGTTTACTCTCATATAGTCAAGACCGGCATTATTCAAGCCCCTGGCGAAAAAAAAGACTTGTTTTGTTCAAATGTTAATAAAAAATACTTTTTTTCCAGAACTATGCCTCTTGTAGATCGTCTTATTATCTTTTGGGAAAAACCTGTGTCATTTCCAGTCCAAAAAAAAAACTTGATGGTTGAATAAAAGTAATTTTAAGCCAGAATTTGTGACTTACTAAATATATATGTAGCTAAATATATTTCAACATATATGTACATATTTGAAATTCCAGTGTTTGATAAAATATATAGGTTGCATATATGACATATTATGTAAATATCCAAACATGAATGGCAGTTTGCCATATGTCAGATATCAATAGGCACTGTAAAAAATGCTGATTTCTGGATTGAACCCATTCACCCTGGACTGAATATAAAACAATTAACTCAAGAATTATGTGTCAGCTCATTTTAAAAAAGTAGTTCAAACTAGTAGAAAAAAATATTTTTTGATTGGAGAGTGTCTTTTGCATTTATATAGTAGGTAGAACTAAAGAACTTCTCTTGGCATGCTTTGCTAGAAACAATTCTGACGTAGTTTTCTGTGTTAATTTCCCAATTAAAAATGATTGTTCTTATAATAAATTAGCAACCTCAAATCACAAAGCATATCTGTCTTTAAAGGTTTATGAGTTATTGTTGTCCCAGTTGAAAAGAGTTGAGTTTTTATATCCAGAACCCAGTGCTTAGCATAACTGAGTACACCCATTTCAGAAGTTAATATTTGTATCCATTTCTCAGTAAATATCGGTCATACATTTTGGTGCATTTAAACAGAGCAGATTTATTAAACAGATATATTTAATATTTTATTATTGTTATATTATAATATTATAGTCACCAAAGATATTTAAAAATTGAAAGATAATACAATTACATTAAAGCAAAATAGTGCAAAAACTAATTACAACCTACAAAATTTCATTTTCTTTGTTTCTCTTGAATTTTGCTCTTTTTACATTTTTTATTTAATATTATTCCCTAACAATTAAATTAGATTGTATTAATTTTGGACCCTCATCATAAGTTATTTTGTTTGATTATCTTCATATTTAGGTTCAGTACTGACTAATCTAATGTATATGCACAAACATAATACTGTAAAGCTTCCTATAGAAAATATAAATTTAAATGAGAGTTTAGTGAGGAGTGTACTTATATGTGCTTATATATGCTGAGCACTGTATATGATCATTTCTCAACCCTATCCATCATACCGAAGCAAGCTTCCTTCTGAACTCCGTCTGCCCTTCTTCTTCCTCTCCATGGGCGAGGCTGAACCTATAGAGCCCTGTGGGGACGGAGTCTCCCTGCCTTTGCTCCTGCTAGACAGGCGCAGGTTCTTTCCCAGTTTGCCCAGAGTTTTGAGGGGTGAGACCCCCTTCATGCGCTCCAGTGTGCCTTTGATGGAGCCTCCCTTCCCCGATCCTCCACGTCGCACCTCATTGGCCTCGTTCTCATCTTCCTCATCCTCAAACGGGTTTCTGTCCCGGGGCACACGTCCATCTAGCAGTGAGCCTCCGTTGCTTCTGGGCCAGTCCTCATCTGAGCCAGGCTCCTCGAATGGATTGTGGTTAAGGCTCATTTTTCTGAGAATAAACTCGCTCCGCGTAGTCTCCAAATCCACGCTAAACCTGCCTCCCTTTAGCCGAGACGGGAGGTTCTTGAGGACTGGCATGGTTGCACTGGGAGGATGTATGCTAGAAGAGAGATAAAACCAGTAAATGCATATCTGTCAGAATCGTCACTACCAGTATGAACTTTATAAGGCATTGCAGAACCATTTGTGCTTCTGCAAACAGGAAATTACTGCCACACGCGCCAGTACACTGGCATTCATCCATCGTGCTGATATGAGCTTTTACTTTTTATGAAAAAGTTCTTTGTTTTTTTCCAGTGTATAATACAGCTAAAATTACATAAAAATGCACACAGAAACGGACAATCTTTTGAAACAGTACATTTTGTGGTGTACACAGATTCTGCAAAAATGGCCCCAAAGTAACAGAAACTTGATGCCAAAATGCCACGCCAATTTTAATATAAGGGGGAAATAAATGCCGCTCACAATTAAAACAAATCTATTTTAACTTTCCTGATTAAAGTGAATAAAATTGCCATATGGGACCTTGATCTTGACTTCATTTAACAACATTTGGGGCCCTAACATACACCCGGCGCAATGTGGCGCAAGGTGCGACGCAATTGTTGTTTGCTAGTTTCAGCTTGGTGCAAGAGTCGTTTTGACATTTTGTGCCACGCTGCTTAAATAGCAAATGCATTTGCGCTCATATGTGCGCCCATAGGCGTTCTGGTCTAAAAAAGCAGGCGTGTTTTGGCACGTTGCTATTTTGAGAAACTATAATAGATCATATAATAGACCAAAACAAAGCCGATCTATTGTCCAGCGCAGAACGCGTTAGTTGTGCACCTCACTTACACACTGCTTAATACACACAAGATGTAGAGCAATACGCAAATATCTTTACATATGAATAGGGGTGGGCGATATGACCTAAAATTAATATCACAGTATTTTTCATCTTTTGAACGGTGACAGTAATATCACGGTATAAGCTGTTTTTTGTTTTTTTTTGGTACATTTTGGGAGGAGTAGCCTGTCCTGTCCCTTTAGTATGTAAATAAAGTTAATATTTGTATAATATAATAAGTAAATGGTATAGGTATCTTTAGCAAAAAGCGACATGGGAGAGAATTATGCATTCTCAACATATTTATTTTGCAAAACACCAAAAAAGAATTAAGGAGCACAAGAAAAATTTTAGGAGCACCCACCAAAAATGAATGAGCACTTTTAAAAATAGTATTTTAAAGGATTTATTGACTTTTAAAACAACATCAATTAGGACTAACGAAAACCAGAAACAATTATCTAACTAATGCTGAGATGATATTGATATTTATGTACAATAATTCCAATATATATATATATATATATATATATATATATATATATATATATATATATATATATATATATATATATATATATATATATATATATATATATATAAAATATAGAATATTACTGATGATGAAAATGACAATAATAGTAAAAATGAATTACATTTTCATGCTTCCTGTAGAATGTGCTTAAATGTGAGTTATCTTCTATAAAAAGTCTGTTACTTTATGAAATATAAATTTATGGTTTGCATCAAACAAAAATGGAGCATTGCAGTAATAAATATTTATTTTGCACAATTGTTTTTAAATGCATGTCAATTTAATAAATAATATTTCTGCTACAAAACAAATGAAAGACTATAATAAATCATTCAATTCATGCTGAAAGCTGCAAACAATCATCAGTAACTAAATAGCAAAATAATATACATCTCAAGAAAGAATCACAAAAAAAGTAAGAAAAGTCTCACTTCTGCCACTCTTTAAAGGTTTTGTTTTCGGTTTGTGTCATTTTAAATGCTCAGACTCGTTATGAGCTGATCTTCATTTTTCTGTGTTTGTGGTAAGCAGGCGAGTCAGCATTCTTGCGATGACCACCGGCGCAATGCCGCTTTTTGTAATGAGCCGCAGTTTCAGTGTAAACTTAGTAAAGGCAGGGAACATACCTATAACTCATTAAGACAATAAGCTCAACCTTTTTAGATCATGTGCCACGGCTCAAAGCGGATTTTCCGTCCTTATATTAGCAAAAGTGGATTCTTACATGCCCTAAAAGCGTTTGCACCCTGTGCTTTGCACTTTCCGCATGGACCGTCATAATAGAGCCCTTGATGTTAAATATATAGTTTGAAACTCTTTGGGCTCTATTTTAACAATCTAGATGCAAAGTCTAAAGCGGATGGCACAAAAGCATTAAGGATGTCTGAATCCACTTTTGCTATTGTAAGGATGGGAAAAATATGCGCTGCACCATGGCACATGGTCTAAAAGGGTATGCTTTTTCTCTTAATGAGTTATGGGTGTGTTTTGAGCATAACATGCATTAAACCAATTAGAGTCTTATCTCACATTTTCTTTAAAATTAATTTGCATCGAAACATGACGCATTTGCTATTTACATGGTGGACTTTGTTAGTGGAAAACCTGAACGCTTCACTAGTGAGAAAACAGTTAAATAAAAAATATGCAGCGTGAGGATAAAGAATGAACCTCCTCCATTCTGCCTCTTTACTTTTACTCTTTACTCCTTACTTTTGTGGATATGGAAACAGTGAAAACTCACTCCACTGAAAACATCCATTAGCCTACATTTAATTTTGTTTGTTAAGCACAAAGAATTGTTTTAAAAGTATTTCTTAATCCAAAATTTTAATTTCCAGCAAACGGATAAAGGAACAATAATAACGAAGATAATTGTGTATTGCTATACATCCTGTGTGCATTAAACAATGTTTATGCGTTTTAGACCTGCATAGGCGCATAATTAACATGCTCTGCGCTAGACTTTGGTCAATGGCGTGGTCTATTTCAGTTTCTCAAAATAGCAACATGCCAACAATGCGCCTTAACACACCTCCTTTTTAGACCAGCACACCCATGAGTTCACAAAGTGGCGCAAATGGATTTGCTATTTAAATAACATGGCATAAAACATGAAAATTAGGATTGCGCTGATCTAAAAATAGCAACAAATCGTGCCAATCACGTCTTGCGTCTTATTGTGCCGGGTGTATGATAGGGCACTAAATTGTTTTTGGGTGATCTTGTAAATTACAGTACAAAAACTGTATAATGAGCTGTCAGAATATGTTGTTATATGTTGTATAAGCTGCCAGTATATAAACTGTTATCATAATATAAATTTTTGGTCTGGGGAGCTGTAATGTGTGGTGGTGCTTCTCAAACACAAAAACATTTTCATGTTTATTCTTTTAATGGACATTAAAATCAAAGTCAGTCTTAATACTGTAGCTGTAATGCTGTTCCTTTTTTTAAAATCTATCATTTACTGTATGCAATTTAAAAAATTTTGTTGATAGCATAAAAAGACATTCTCTTTCCTTGTCATTTGTGATTATTTACACGAAACAACAGAGATAAGACACATCTGACAGCTTTATTTGAAAGATTAATGATTTTATGAGGAACAGAATCAGAATCACACCCTTTTTTTAATCTCTCAGACATTTGATGTTGGGCCTGTCAACATTACAAGTGTCATAAAAAAGGTACTACACACAAAGGGACGCAATAACGCCACAAACTACCCTAAGAAAGAACAAATTCATTCTGGTTTGAACCAGCTGCACAAAACCTGACACGTTATAGTGCTCCACAACCCACCATTAGGTTTGAATATACATGGAATCTTTTGTAAATAAACAAAAGGAGGCCTCAACCTGATGAACCGAGTCTATTTCAAGAAACATGTTTGCCTCTTTTAAAGGGCTCTTAGCTAGAATAGCCCTCTCGTATATTTATGGCCGGTTGACAAAAGTGAATAGGAGCAGCGCTGAATCACTTCCGGTTTGCTAATTTGTGTAAGTGTGTGCGTATACAAGGGCGCTGATATTTAATGAATGACTAACTTTAATGGTTAACGGTAGTCTACCTGGCTTCCTTTCGATAAAAACTGCCATTTTAACACTAGCTCTGTAAACAAAAAAGATGATAAAAAATGTAATAATAACACAACCTGTTTCTGAGATCAAAGCCATATGGTGGCTTGGAGACCAATTTAAGAGGGTAACGGCCAACAAGCTTTAAATTCCTAGAGAGGGTCTATTGTTTGTGGCTTCCTACCTCTCTTAAATAATTATGTCTGCATGATTTTTCCATATGGGACACCTAGCATTAAGGGCTTATTTTATGATTATTCACATTGGACGACGTGTGTAAGATCATGGCCGTTAAAGTGGCTGACTATATGTTTTGATAAATGATTTATGTTTTTGTCTATACAACAACATTGCACACTGTTGACTTTCATCGCTTCTCATTAAATAGCAGGTTTGGATCGATATGAGAACGACTCAATAATAACAGAATTTCATTTATATGATTTGACCCTCACTTAATCGTTAAATCACCAATGGGGTATAATTATTTAACAAGAACCAAACTTGCAAAACAAATATAGTGAATGAGGAAGAAAAAGTATGTTGCACAACAGCTTAATGGACATACACTGTTTAACAGGGTTAACAAGTTAAGTTAATGAGTTAATAAGAAACAATGCGAGTAAATGTCTTACGACTCCAGTGACTGCATGATCATTCTCACTGAAATTCCAGCACTAATTATAAACCTCTGAGTGGAGCCAATATGTAACGTCGGGTTAGATCATTGGGTGAGATATAAAAGTCACACTACCGCTTTCCCAGACCAACTCCTCTTCCTGTCTCATACAGGTAGGGGACACAAGGGATAGGTCCCCCGCATCACAGCCAGTGGCAGTGGCAATACATAATTTCCTTACTGGAATAAGTGAGCTAAAATGGTAAAGAAAAAATGGTAACTGCTAGAATTTCACTAGTAAAATATTGTCACTATATTTCGGTATTTTGGTCCATACATGTTTAATAACTCAATGAGTTTCTTTAAATTATATAATATCAATATATGAATCTACTTCTTATGGTCAATCCAGGCTCATTATTGATATCCCTGTATACATTTCTGGACAGCATCAAATACATCCCAGGAGCTACGTTTTTTTTTCTTTCCTTTTCTTTTCTTTTTGCAGTTTTTGTTTTTCGTGAATCCGCCAGAG